GCCTACCCTATCTAGTAAATACTAGAGCATTCGCCAAGGTACGGGATAGTTCTAGAAAATAGGTGGCGCCACACCAGTCACGTGACCTCGATGACGCAACAATATTTTTGGTTGTTTTCCCTCACGTCTACCACTCAATTTAGCATAAATATATATATAAATCATCACATTCACAATCACAGTAAAATCATGCTAAGCATTTTGAATATCTAGGCCTATTTACATTTGCCTGATAAAGGTTCCATTTTGAACTAGGATTGAAATTTTTTTCAACAGTCGTTGAAGTAGTCGTCAGAAGTTTCTATCCATAGATTTGGAGTGGTCCACTGAAGCTAAAAATATTCTAAATCGTCGTCTTTTTGGCCAATGATACTGCTCAGAAAAGGAAATAGAAAAAAAAAATCCGTAATGAGTCTTTTTTTTTCTTTCTGACCAACTTGATCTTACAGATATGGGTGGTGTTAAATTACCGAAACTGTGAAGCGATATACTTGTAAGAGTTAAGTGCATTTCGTAGAAGCAGTACGTTGAAATTTAAAAATGCCATGACAATTTCAGGAGTCGAAGATATTTCTTACAAAACTTGATTTCAAAACTCAAAAAAGTTTATACAACTTTTATTGGTGAAAAGTATTAAGCAGTTTGTTTTGTATTTGAAATTAGTTCAAGTTTATTGAGGTATTTTATTTTTTTCAGTTACCGTAGCGACTAGTGAGAAGACAACATTAATTCTGATGAAAGCATTTCGGGTGAATAAAAAAGTGTACCAATGAAATAAAAACTAATTATATATTTTATGACAACACTATATTGGTATCTACCGCCATCCCTAATTTCGAACCACTTATCAGAGGAAAGGCAGCCAGTCAGAAATACGTGCCATGTACGCTAAGTCATTGACTGTCACTCTTATAACACACCCAGACCGTAAAGTACAAGCAAAATATTTTGTGATATTGTACGGATTCCAATAATTTTCGCCAGTTTCGTCACTTTATCTCAAACATTTATTTGAACACTTAGTTTTATATATCATACAAGGATTAGGTAGTAGAATCATTTCCATTGATATCTTTATGTTTGATTTGGCTTTGTAAACTAAATTATTTTGTAATATAATCCCCGTTAAATAATAGCTTAAACAAATTATTTGGTTGCTAGAATGAACCAGGTGGTTAGGGCGCTCGACTCGTAATCTGATGGTCGCGGGTTCGAATCTCCGTCACACCAAACATGCCAACCTCCGCCTTTGCCCCTGGTCTCAAGTCCAGGATGAGAAAGGAGGAGGGGCTAGCATCTCCACCCCTTAAAAAACAAACTGCTACAAGTAACTGCAACAACACCTTCCGTTGGTGAGGTGTTGTTGCGGCCCTATGCTCCACTGGGAGTTTACAGGAATAATAAAAAAAAAATTCAGACCAAAATTTCTTCCAATTTGTACTTTGCATGTTTCATTTATTTAATACTTTATACTAGTATCTTTACAGTGTTGACTGCATATAGTTTTTTTTTAAGGAATAGGAAATTATTTTGTAAAAGTGTTAATAATTCATTTAAAAATCACGAAATATTAATTCAGTTACAGATTGGAGTAGAAACATCGAGTCTTGAAGACAAAAAGTCAAGTACTGAATATCACTTTCAAAGTTAACCTTTATATTGATGATGTTATAAGACTGTATTAACATATACATTATTAAATAACCTGCATACAGTAGATTTTAGCATCAGTTCCATCAAAATAACCACTTTTTGTGTAAGGTTCCCGTACTTTCTTCCACAATCCAGCGTTGCAAAGTTGATTTACACCTTCGTCAAACTTTTCGTTTCTAAAGCGTTCAGAATAATGACTGTAATCACGCATTGTCCAGCAAATGTATCCGTCTGTTGTGAGAAAAACAAAAACACACACATTTTAGACAATATTTCATATAAGATTGTAGACGATTAATCACTAAATTAAACTTTTAAAAAAATGTCAATCATTACAACTTTTAATAATACTAACTCTAAGAAGAATGTAAATCACGAATAAGTATTTTTAAGTTTAAGAAATGGAAGGTTTCGTAATATTGTGTTACGTATCTGGTCGTTTGTTAATTTCCGGTATAAATTCTTTCCGAGGAACTTCAGCGATACAAGTCCTTTCTTGTTTAAAACTAGTTTATTCTCTCTTGATACAACTTTTAGTAATACACAGAATTTCCACGGTCACTTTAACTTAACTACTTTTATAAACACACGCTATAAATCACAGCGATTCACACACTTTACTTACGGTGCCCACTGCTCGCTTGACTCAGTTATCTCTCTATCTAATCTATCTGCATATACCCTTATATACTAAAAAAGAGGGCGTCTAGCAAATACTGGGATATTCGTGAGATTCCCCGATAAGTCATGATTCTTCTAGAAACTCAGCGCGCATGCTCCCAGCGTCGCGTGACTTCCGCTGTCGTAACAATATTAATTATTTGTACATAAATATTCAGTTTCTATTAAAGAATGCTCATTATATTATTGATAGTTTAGTTACAAACTTACTTTATGCTCACTCTCTGTTATAGTGAGAGCATGTTAAAATATTGATATATATATGCCGTACCACAGATTACCGTATTTGCCTGAATATAATGCGCACATTTTTTCTTTCAAATATCTCCAGGTATTATGAAAAGGGCATTATATTCGATTTGGTTAAATATTTTACTAGAAGCTATCACCAAAAATCATTAAAATATCACTAAAGGTTTCAAAAAATGTTGTATATCCAATACAATGGATGGAACGGATGATAACACGTTGTGGGAATCAGAAAATGATGAGGCAAAGTACAAGGAAACGAATGCGATGGTAGCGACAATTCTAGCAGTGATGAAGATTTATGTGAAGACGAAGGATTATCTTTGTTATTACGACGTACAAACTAGTGAAACATTCTCAGTTTCATACATCGATAGTTGTTTACTGCGTTTAGAAACTATTCAATACATTTTGTACAAATAATGTGTAGAAAAACAAATTTTATTCAACTGAACCTTTCAAAATTAAGTGCGCTTTATACTGGGACAAATACGGTATTAAATGCTTTCTTGTGTTAATGTAAGGAGAATATGTGAAGTTCATAGTAATCATACATTGATTGTTTATACAAAATAAAGCTATAATACTGTTACGACAGTGGTAGTCACGTGACTGTGGTAACACGTCAAGATATTCTCGAAGGATCGGGGAACATCACGAATAATCCAGTATGTGCTAGGCGCCCTCTATTCCTGTATATAAATGCGTCCTGTTAACGTGAGACTAATCAATCGGAATTGAATTGCAGACAAGCAGAGATAGAGACGGACAATTGAGTCAAGCGCGGTAGTGACCGTAAGTAAATGCGTGAATCATTGTGAATTTTAAGGAGTGTTTTAAGT